CTTGTTAATTACTGTAAAGGGGGTAATTATTCACTGTGTTTTAATTTAGCTTATTTCGCTGACTGGAAAAATGCGCTAAATTAAAACACAGTGAATATGTAAAATTTAGCATAGAACACATTATCTAAATGACAAAACCGTGAATTTAAAAACCCACTGAATATGCCTGAAATGGTAAATCAGTGAAATTTAAACTCAGTGAAAATTAGTCATTTTACAGTATTCTGTTTGTGGGTGACATATGCATGTGCAGTGAAGTTTGTACATGGTGGTGCAGAGTATCCTTTCCTGATCTTTAAGAATCTCTTCGAGAGAGCGACAAGTTGTTTGAATTTGGGGTTGACTATAAGAAACACCAACAAGAACAAAAATAAAGACATGCAGACACAGCTACCCCCTTCCAGACACCGCACCCTTAATTAGACACTTCTTGGATTCACCACAAAAAAATTAATCATCCTGATGGAGGCATTCCTCGAGTTGGCACAAGAACAAGCAATCAACCAGACTGGGAATCACATGGCCCAATGCTTTTTTGGGGCTGGTGCTGAAACAACCAATCATGCAGGTAGGGGCTCACATGGCCTGAGGCATTCTGAATTTATAAATAAATATTGGTATCATATGCAAATATGTGATAATAGTGCCACTTTAAATACTATATACAATAGAACACTAAAAACTAATACAATTATAAATGAGGACAATAAAACTGAACATCATTTAAATTGATTAAAAAAAAAATATTGCATTTATCACATCAAAAAACATCCATACCTGGCTATCAGCGAACTCTTTTTCTTCTTTTAATTGTGCTATCATTGAATCCCCTAGAACAACAAAAATCACAGTATTACTATTAAAACCTTGCCCATGGTATATGCAATCCTTCAATTAAATATACGTTACAATACAGGGATAGGAAACTGTCGGCAAACATCAAAGAGAATGCAAGGCATGGATGTGAAGGCTATCTTAGCACATTATCTCCTTACCAATAAACACAATGCAATTCTTATAACTTCACAACAACACAAATGTAGAAACAGACAATTGTCTGCACAAAGTTTTTAATTTTCTGATTGACTTGCAAAGTTTGTGTTTACTAATTTATTGCATGATCTGATGTTAAATGCACACTTTTTTCCATAAATTATCGGCCTGAAACATTGATAAATTTACTGGCAGGATGCCTACATGAATGCTGGCTTCCACACTATAGATTAAACCTTTTCTTGATTTATAATAATTACGTCCCAGAATTCTTAGAATGTAATTCAGATAATATAATATGCTTTGCACAATAACTTTCCTTGAACCTGAAAATGTGATCCAAATTTCGTGTAGGAAGTTTGACCATTTTGCAAACAGACTTAAAGCACCTTACAACAAAGCAAACACTAATTTCCTATTTCTTGTATTATCTATGGTTGGAATACAAAATATATTATGAAAAAACTTTTCATTTTTTGGTCAGGAAAGACAAAAATTTTAAGAAGAAGGAAGAAGTTTGGAAGAAGCTACAAAGAAAGCACAATTCATAGTATACTTACCATTTGTATGATTGGTTGGGGTGGTGGCTGGGATGCTGCTTTCCATTTGTTTATTTTGTGCCTCCATCAATGCTGCTTGTAATTCTGCTATTTGTTGATTTAACTGCTTTTTATCTTGTTCTAAATTCTCTATTGATGATTTGTAACTTTTCACCATTGCGTTTTCACCCTTGAGGTATGCTATCTGTAAACATAATATAATACAATATGTGAGGGAGGTTATGACAAAGTTGTCTATGAAGAATACTCCTATTTGAATAATCTAGCCAACTTTGCTCTGTAACTCAAAAGTCACCAAAAATTGGTCCAACACAAGAACCTGCGAACCTTAACTAAGGTTCTACCCCATAGTTGCATTCATTAGTGAATGAATCTCAGCCACTGGAATTGGCCTTCCCATCGAGTCATACTGAACCAGGGTAGGGGTTGATCCTTTTTGGCGTTCAGCCTATCATAGGATTTTAACTTAGGTCTGCCAATCACGAGTCTGATGCGACAACCACTATGCTACCAGTGACCCGCAAGTCCAGCCAACTATGTCCAACATAAACTTTGGTCAACCATTGCAACAGTCATGCACAAAATAACAATTACCAAATTTTAACATAAAGTTGTATTACTCTTTTGCGAGAAAAGGGACACAGAGAGAACTCATGCCCGGTACTGATACCATCACCATGACTACCACCAATGCACTGCACACACCTTATTACAACAGTGAATATCACTGCAATACTCTTACCTCTGTTTTCTGCTTGTCTATTTCTTTGTCTTTTTGATAAATTAAATCATTTGTTGTGTCTAAACTCTTTTGTAATGATTCTCTCTCACCACTGAATTCCTGCCTGAGATTGTTTTCCCTAAAAAAGATAAATACAATTATTTTAATATTTTTAGTAACATCTGCAAGTTTTTCGTCGCTTGATATACTGGTACCGACAGTCATGCTGGAAATTTTATTTAAGGGATTAACCATTAAAAAAAAATGGAATGGGAGATGGTAGAAAACTGTTGAACATTTTTTTTTTGCTTTCCTTTATTAAATGTGTGTGGTCTTTTTTGTAAATTTATCTGTAATATTTTGTTTTTATTGTAAATTTTCTGTACCATCTCACCCAAACATTTTAATGGTCACTCCCACCCCCTTTAACAATTTAAATGCAAGATAGTGAACTAGAGGACGTTATTGTTTATAGATTATATGCAAGACTATACACCTGTCAAGTGCAATAATTAATAGTAGGCGAGGTGATATTCATTATCATGCTTTAAACACTATTGATTTCACTGCCAATTACTGTATTTTGCACATTTTTGTGTATCAACATTTTTTTCAAGATTTTGTTATCAATTTTGCACCAAATGGACATTTTCCCATTGGTTACAATGTCTTGATCAAAACTTTTGAAACAAAATACGAAAAATTACACATGCGTTTTAGAAAAGCTTTGACTTTAGTGTTCTAAAGTTTAATAGTTTTTATAGGGCAGCAGTGACATAATATAAGATGGTACCTGTAAACGTGTACCTGTAAACGTGTACCTGTAAACATGTACCTGTAAACGTGTACCTGTAAACGTGTACCTGTAAACATCAACCGATTACTGTGAAATGACTAATTTTCACTGGGTTTAAATTTCACCGATTCACCATTCCAGGCATATTCAGTGGGTTTTAAATTCATGATTTTATCATTTAGAAAATGTGTTCTATGCCAAATTTTACATATTCACTAGGTTTCAATTTAGCGCATTTTCCAGTCAGCAAAATAAGCAAAATTAAAACCAAGTGAATAATTAACCCTTTTACAGTATACATTAACCCTGGGCAGCTACATTGCAATTTATTTTTAATATATAATAAATAAACATAACCATAGACCATAAGAGCTATGTTATAACCAACTATTATATTATTATAAGGGTGATTGAAACAGATCATCTACACCACTGTAAGGCATGCTTTTTAGCAATCAAAAGTTTGAGAAGGGGGAGGGATCAAAGAAACTATACTGGATATATATTTAATAATTATATTCCTCTTGCATCTACCGGTAATATTAGTACAGTATAGTACTGAAGTTATTAACTCTTTGAACGCTATAATTTATCCCACCTAAATTGTGGTGCAACATTTTAACAATTTTGCTGTATTTTTCTTTGTTATTTTAGATCAAATGGACAGAATATCTTATCGGCTGCAAATGTTGATCAAAATATTTGATACAAATTTGGAAATTTTTTTTTTTTGGTGAAAAGTGACTAGCGTTCAAAAGTTTGAAATGGACTGTCATGCAACTGAAATTGTGTTACAATTATTTAATAACAGTGAATACAAACCATCAAGAAAATAACACTTGAACTACTGCACAAATACAAGCACAGACTACATACACGAGAAGACAACATAAACAATAATAAACTAGAAACTTGTGTTTGAAGTGAAAAAAAAAAAGTAACGCTAATCAGACACCGAATACAAGTATTAGTGCATTATGGGATACCTGGATTCTAACGTTAACTACTATAAGATAAATTATCACACACTGCCAATACACCGACTTCTAAACGGTCCAGCCTATCCCGTGAAGACTAAAATTCAGACATAGACAGAGAAAGATAGAAAGACAGGATATACACTATTATTGTTTACCAACTAAAAAAATAAAGTCATTTTAGCATCATTTATAATTAAAATAATATAATGTATAAAAATTTGTTCTAATCCAATTTTCTACAAGCGTTGGTAGAATCTGGCATTGGTATTGAAGTAACGGTAGTGGCTGTTGCATAGTGTACTAGTATGCAAATGATTATCCAGTTTCTACCTTGCTCCATCTGTGACTAGATTGTAAAAGTGCTTTCAGGCAGATGTGATCAAAAAATATCTTGAAGTCTTCTTGAATATTTCAGCATGCATAGAAATGGTACTAGTTTTCTCTGTTCACATTCATAAGATCTGCTGGATAAGTTTAAAAACTACAGATTTGAATAGTGTATAGCAACACTGAAGAAAACTGTGGTAACTTATATCCAAATTTCAGTAATGAAGATACGCAAATGTGCTTAGGAATGTTAAAGTCGGAAAGGAAACAAAATGTTGACAAGAATATCATTTTATCATTGACTTGTCAAAAATATTTAACATCACCAGAATTACCAACTTCCATCTTCAAGCATGGAAAGTTGCACAAACAATTAAATATTTAGCTTGTTTGGGAAACTTTTTTTTTTATAAGCTGCCACATAATTTTTTTTTTAAAATATACCTACAGTATTTGCTCTATTAGTAGCATATGCGTTTACGCAAGTTACAGAAGTGTGATTTGGGTCAAAATAAGTAATACTTTGAATGATTCATATAAAACAAATGCAAGTTTCTGGTTATCTGCACTACTATTAAAGATGTGCTTCTGATTTAAGTAATACGGTATTGGCCATCGTTCCTACTTGCAGCTATATTTAATAATTCTCAGAATACAAGTTGGTTTTCTGAAAGAATTCCAGCAACTATTTGTCTGTTGTCTTTCTGATGTTGTTAATAGTTTCATTTTAAGTAAATAATTGAACTGCATCTTCACTCACCAACCATTTTTTTTTTGTAAAGTGTAGTCATTTTCTTTGCAATCATGTACAATGAAAGCTGCATGGTGTACCCTAGTTAATTTACAAAACAGTTTGGAATATTGCAAACTTTTCCAGCAGATCTTTATGATAATCAGAGTTAAAGCAGATTGTTGTTGTTACACAGATGACAAGGATAAATAAAATCAGGGAGAAGAGAATTTACGGGGGATTTTAAAAGGGATGAATGAGGAGTCATGACATGTGTACTATCTCAAATGAAATATTGAGCTTACCACCAATGTGTGTTAGCAGTGTGGTGCAGAAAAATTGAAAACAAAAATAGTCATTGTTAGAATACAAGAAATACATGGTTAGATAAAGAAGAACATGACAAATTGAAGATGAACCGAATTGAAGCTTTATATTGCGTAGACTTCTAATCGTATTGCTGAATGTCATTGGGGTAAAATAGTTTTGGGTTAAGCTTGTGGTGTTTTGGAGACATACTTGCTGTGTCAGAATACATACTTTAATAATAGTGTTATATGCTGCCTAATAACCTTGTATTAACATGGTGAAAAGTGTGGCAGTTGGTGTAGCTTGAAGTCAATTATAAAGTTTCTCTTGTGTTTATATGATGCTTTGTATGTGTCATAGTCAAGATCACACAGAAATCAAATTTAATTTAATATGCAAGACACTGAAACTTGAGTTTCTCAGACAGTTACAAGTTCACACTAAAAAGACAAAGCAGTGGTAGAAAAGCATGTGGAAAGGCAGTGCTCACAGTGCAGCGTATTCATATTTTTGTGTATACGCAATGTATTTAACACATGTTGTATATAAAACAGTGATTAAACCCATATCAAACACAAAAAGGCGCAGCAACCATTTTGAAAGAAAAAATATTTATCAACAAGCACAGGAATTATTCATAAAATGGAATGAAGAGCAGAGTTGCAAATCGGAGGAAGTGAGCAGTTGTTATGGACACACAACACACAAGAAATTCAAAAAAATGGATGCTGATGAGCTCCGTTGTACATTGGTAAAATAGAAAATCAGGATTGGGCTGGTTGCTATGGGTATTGTTGTCAGGTGCTAAAATATTCTCATGATATTAACGATCATATTCATGATCCACAAAAAATGCTGTACTAAAGGAAAGATGTCAAATTCATTTTGATAGCGCTGTCCACAAATCAATTATGTATTAACTGACATTACAATATGTATGCATTGAGATTTTAATGACAAGACTCTGAAAAGCATTATGTGGTGATAAGTTTGTTTTAGGAAGTTTCTGTGAAGTATAGGAGCATAATTCCTTATTGCGTCTGAAACTCCAGCTTGAATGGATGTGTTGTAATATTCTAGCATAGCTAACACAATGTAAGTGCAAAGAGCAAGACGAGCTGTACCTCATTTTTAATTCCTCTAATTGGTTCTTCAAAAGCATATGAGCCTCTTCCAACTATGTACAACATGAAACAAAAAACAAATTGAGAACATTACATACACATGATTTAAACAAATAATTGTAGCCCTACAGTGTGCGTAACATATCACAGAAATGGATTGCATGATAGACGTGGTGAAATCAACTTTATAGTGTGAATATATTCATTTATGTGAGAAATAAATAAAAGTATTTAGTGTGGTCACTCTGTGCTATTTATTCCATATCCTCACATCATTACTTTCTAATATTTACTTGTTTTAAGACAGGTTTTGCAACTCTTTGCTTGCATCAGTTGGAAACCTGAGTTAACATATTTTTGGGGGCAATTTCATGTACACCATATATAGTGTATTTGCAAGTAATATTTTAACACCCCTTGCTGATGCTGTTTATTCAGATATATTTCCGCTATCTAGAGAAGTTTTCAGCAGAATATGTGTTAATGGTTCAGTATACAACAAATGTGATGTTGTTTTGTATGTGCTTGTATTGGAGATGTGCTTCTAATACAGCAAATATGATACAATAGAATTAGGAAATGTTTATTGTGTATTTTGAGGACATGCATTTCTGTTACAGAATACGCTTTGTGTGTACTCTTTGTTTCATATACCGTACCTACTAAAAGCATGTACACACAAGTGATGATATATATGTATAAACCAAATGTATTTAAGTGCAAGAAGAAATATCAACACCTTTTAAGTGAACTACACTAAGGATGCAGGAATGGTAATGAGAAAATTAGGGTTAGGTTTAAACTAGGACCCCGAAAAGTTCTATCCATATTTTTATTAAGAGGCCAAGAATAATTAAACAATCACCTCATCACAAATAAACAAATAAATGTAACAAACTATTTAAACAACATGCACATGGTTTTCATGCACAATTGAAAAATTATTATAAATGGCCATCATTTTGGAGGCATAAAGCTAAAGATTTTATATATGAAGAAGGAACAAATACTTTCGTTTTTTCAGAACTAAACCTCAATCGGTAGAATCTATTGCAGAATCAAGAACAGTTGAATTGAGGAAATTGTTCCAATATTTTATAATTTTGCGATTTTTTGTTTTTTTATTAAAAAAGGCTCAGAAGGTGACAGATGTTTCATGAGAGCTCAATATAGAAGATTCAGAAGGCTACAGGTGTTGGACGAGAGCTCAATATGAAAGGCTCAGAAGGCGACAGGTGTTGGATGTGAGTTCAATACAGAAGATTCAGAAGGCTACAGATGTTGGATGAGAGCTCAATATGGAAGATTCAGAAGGCAACAGGTGTTGGATGAGAGCTCAATATGAAAGGCTCAGAAGGCGACAGGTGTTGGATGCGAGTTCAATACAGAAGATTAAGAAGGCGACAGGTGTTGGATGCGAGTTCAATACAGAAGATTCAGAAGGCTACAGGTGTTGGATGAGAGCTCAATATGGAAGATTCAGAAGGCTGCAGGTGTTTTACGAGTAGCAGGGACATGATACAGTACAAGACTTAGTTATCCAATTCATTACCTGTTGTTTTTCCTCCTTTGCTGTCTGCAGCTCTGTTAACTCTTTTTTCATATTACTTTTATCTGTTTCTATTTCCAACATTTTTCTTTCCTTATCTTCTAGACATTCTTTTGCTGATTCTCTGCAAAATACAATATGGTCCAGTGTGCTATTAACACAATGCTGAGAAGTTTGACTCAAAGAATTTAGTGTGATATACAAGTATATGGTCTATTTACAAGCTTTACAAGTTCACAGAACATCCTGGAGGTATGGGTGAAGCAAAAAAGCAAACTCTTTTTAAATTTTGACTTTAATAGCAGATGGCCTACTAGACTTTCTTGTGCCGACAAGAGGACCATCTATATTGCAGCAGCAATGGATATTACAATCCCAACATATCTATGAACTTGTAACAAATATTATTTCTTTGACATTAAATTGCAGTGGCGGAAAAAGGCCTATGTCTCAGTGCTGTATCTCTGCTTTGTCAAAGTAGTCAG